AATTTGTTTAACAATAACTGATTTCCTTAACACACAACCTATTTTAGTACATTTGTCGACTTTTACGATGAGGAGGAATATATTTCCGGTACAAAAATAAATTCCTCTTCCGGGAACTGGTTTTAAGTCGACTGAAATACTGCTTCGATTTCTGCTGAAATTATTTCCTGAATTAAGCAATACTTACAGTATGCACTGAAGTGGGATCCCTCAGCCAGGCGTTGTACATCTCCTCCACGTAGGAGGCGGTGCTGCCGTTGGCAAAAGGTTCGGCAGCCGCGGAGTTGTAGGTCCGCACAGCGGCCGCTGCAGTTGCCTTGGCCATCTACCAGAGATTTGGGGGGTTTATTAATGGGCCTGGTCTCCCCTGGAGTTTCATAATTTACTCACCTGCTGACTGCTGCTGCTCTTGAGCAGCCATGTGGCGAAGTTCTTTCGCGCCATCGGCGACAAGGCCAGACTGAAGGCTGTGTGTGCTCTATGCATTTTGTAGCTTTACAAAATAGAACTAAAATGAAACGAAACAAAACGGAGAGACAATCTTTAGTGGCGATCTTATCAGCGGACTATTATATCACTAGCTACTGATTAATCGACGGCGCCTTTGTTGACAAACAAGCCACGTAGAAGATAGCACCACCCACTAAACACCGATCCCCTGACCCGCGGCTGCTGTGTAAGTGCGATTAGATAGCCTAGAAGTTTTTACGTCATGGCCAAGTTCTGGGTTTTTAACTGTGTCACCGATCAACCGAATAATTCGAACTTGTTGCCAGGCAAGCGCAGGCCAGTTATGAAATTGACACACAAAACCAGTGTTTTTCTGTAGAAATTACACACGTCTAGAGCCAGACTAGAAGTAGACCGCTGAGAACGGGGGATCGCTTGGCAAAATGAATAGCACACGTGATGCCGTCGGCCTGCTGATTCCCGCGATGACGTCAAACTAGCGTTTGCTGGTTTCGGACTCAGTCCGCTCGTCTTTTTGATAATCCGCCAAGAAATGGCGAAGATACTTTGGCCCCCAAAAAAATAGAATGGTGAAATGGGGTTTGAATAGGGAGAAAGAGAAGGCAGCCAGCTGCTTTTTGCGCAGTTTATTCGTTTCCCAACTTTTAATCAGTTGTGAATATTTGCCCTGGGCTTTTGTTTGCCATCTCCGAATCACGATGAGCATTCACCTGGGTTTTTGGCCCGAAACGAGTTTGCCCAGATAACGTTTAAACGTCAAGTGTGAGTGTCCCGGGGATTGGAGTAATAAATTCCTGCAGATCATGACTAAACGCAGAAGCCTCTAGAGTCTAGACGCATTTGCTTCACTGATTGATAAGATCGGTAAGGTAAACCGGCCTCCAATACTGTCCATGCCACGCCAGCACTTCCAGAGTTAGTCAAATTAGTAATCTAATTATGGGCGATAGAGCTGCGCGTGCGTATGTCGTAATTGAATCACTATCTAAAGCCAAGTCGTGCAAAAAATTAAATACACAAATTGAATTTCGGAACGGGAACCGATGGGGGCAAGGAAGGCGTGGCCAGGTCACATGTCTTATCGACAAACGCATGCTGGCCAGACGATCCAAATTAAATGATTACAAAACACTACTGGCCCCCAGACATGAGAAAAAAAAAAGAAAAGGAAAACAATTGAAGCGGCTAACCGGTTTGTGGCGGTCAAAGTTAAGTATTTGAAAGTGCAGCACTTTGGCTTTTCGGTTTTGTAATAGTTACAGATGCAGCTACAGTTACAGCCCACAACAGATAATTCAATTGAGCAGCGTGACAGTTTCTTTCAGTGTTATTTATCTGTTTGCTTGTTTTGTGCTGTCGCTTTTCCCATACTGCTTTCCCCCCAATTATATTCTGGTCGACGTCGCTGCCGCTGTTACGAAAACACATTACATAAGTGCAAAAAAGACGGAGACTCGCGTGAGAGCAGATAAATATTAGAATGCCCAGATGGATTGAGCTAATTAGTGTGAAAAAGTTCGCTCGGCGAGCTTTGCAGTTCCAATTTGGAGCATGACTGGAAAAATCCATTTAAATTATTTCCCATGGCAAGTGGAATCCGACAATAAATATACACTGCACTGCGGTGGAACAAAACCACCGTATATACATATATACGCATATACTGCGTGCGATTGCTCCAAAAACCATAAACCGAAAACGAAAAACCAACCGAATATATGTACTCGTCGTACTCGTATCCGTATCTGACAGATACGCGGCAAACGTTTGTTCGTGCTGAGTGCTGCGCGTCGACTGAAGCGAATATACAAAAGCGACCGCCTTCGAGAGTGAAATATAAAAAATTTAGAAATCGAATTTGCTCCTCACGAACCGAGCGACGAGCGGGGAGGGGGGTTGGCGGGGCGGTAAATTGGAAGGAAAACAGAGTGTGTGATAAAAAAAACACAAAGCGGCGGGCACATGACAACTCAGCGTTGTATCTTTATCTTCGGACAAAAGGGGGTTTGGTCTTCGATCGCGAGCGCTGATAACACTCAGGTACCTATCGGCCGTACTTCCTCCGCTTATCTAACTGCCTGTCCTCCCGTTTTTGGCCCATGTCTTGCGTATTTATAGCCCGAATTTGTTTACAACAATCCCAAAGTCCGATCGTCAGCCGGCTGACTGTTTGAAAAAATGCCGCCCACACAGCCGAAAAAGAGAGAGGAGGTAAATTAGAGAGTAAAAGAGGTGGAAAACGAGGAGGCTAGTATTCAAAATACATTCACATATCTTGTTTGTCACATAATATCGAAGAATTATGAAATATATATATTTATTAAATAAATAAAAGTTTTATAAAAAAAGCACTAAGCAATCAGTTTATGCCTTTCATCAAAGAATATTTATTCTTTTTTATATGAAAAATATATCTTTGGAATATTTTTTAATTTATTTTTTTTACTGTGTACCGAACAGGTCAGGCCAAGTGCAAGTGAATATGTGCGTGTGTATCGATTACCTTTCCGCTAATCAATAAAGTTTCAAGTTCACACACGAGTCACATTAATTTAACCATTTACCTTGAAAGCTGGTGCGAAACTGGAAAACACCGAATCTTTGAACACCCTTTTAATTGACAGCTGTTATTTTTATGTGTTGACTAGTTTAAATTGCATTAGAATGTGTAAATCAATTCCTTAACTAGTTAGTCAAGCAATGAATTATTGGGTAGCATATTTTTAAAATACATTAAAATCATATATGAGTTCTGCAGATAATATATTTGCTTCTTTGCACGATAATGGTATACGGCTTTTAAGAAATATTGTATTTTAGGTTTATCATACCAACAAGTATTAGTTGCTTTTTAAAACTCAATCAAAAAAAATACATGACACGTATTTTATATTAATATTAAGGAAGCTAGTCAACAGTTTTAACTCTCACATTATGATAGCCAACAAAAGGGTATTGCAAAGGTAAGAAAAACGCAATCGATAAGGTTGGGGACCTTGCTTAGCCGGTCCAAAAACCAGTCTGCAACTGCATTCCATTGAAAACCCTAGACGAGCCCCCAGAAAGAAGAAGAGTGGGCCAAGAGCGTGGGGTAAGGAGGCGGGAAATTACTATGGGGTTACTATTCCCGATCTGGGGCCTTCACAGCTGGCTTATGATAGGTTGTGGTGAGTGTTCCACATTTGTCTGTAGCTGTGCTTCCCCAGACAATGCGACCGCGCGCTTCCCTCGCGTTTTTGCTTTTTTTTTTGATTGATGATTCATTTGGCGGTCGGAGAAAAAGCACACGCGGCACTCGGTTTATTGCGTCATCAATGCGCCAAGTTAATTTTACAAAATCACATGTGACGTCGCCTCGCTTGTTTTGCATTGCGAAATTTCACTTTTCTTTCGTGCAGCCGGCGCAAGCGCTTTTCCCCAGCCGAATCGCCCACCTGCACTTTTCGCATTATATAATAAGAACAGTCCTTGAATTTAACTCGAAGAAAAATCTTGAACAGTCCTCATTTAATGCGTTCAACTCCCAGCGAATTGAAAGGGGAACAACACAACATATAATATTGATCGTGGAAGCGCTGGTGGTTGTTCCTGGAATTCCACATGATTGAAAAGCGGGGCTCGAATGTGGGGCAAGAGAAAATCGCGCGAAACACAAGTTTTCCGGCAATGTTAGTACTATCACTTGATCGCTCATTAAACAGAACACTTTTTGCAATTTTACCGCACTTCGTTTGCTTAAAATTAGGTAAAACTTGAAATATTTACGTTTTTACAAAAACTTTTGCTGGGACGCAGTGTGACCGTTGTGACAGTTGAAAGAATATACCGCCCGGCTACCACAAATAAACTTTTAATACCATTTTATTAAATAAACGTACCTAAAATATATATGGGGTACTCCACAAAGTTTTACCAGCTGTTTGAAAGATATTTTTGAGGCGAAATCTTTTGCTTTTCTTTTTCTTTTTGATCAAAACAAATGACAATAAATATAAACACTCTCATGACGCTTGGTAAGTATAAAAAGTTGTAATGGTATTAGTGAATGGTCCCACTAATTGTGCGCGCACCTTTATGTTTGTGACGAGAGATGGCGCCACTGTTGTAAGCTCTGACAGGAGCCTTGTGTAAAACATATGTAGAAATGAACCCGCTATTTTATGAAGAAAACTCACAAACAAATTTCAACAAAATGTATTAGAGAAATTTTTTAAATAATAATTTTCATAAATAAATCTTTTTTTTTATCAAGATTTAATCTTCTATGTAAAAGGGATAAATGATTTAGGCACAGGCTGCGGGGTTTAAATAAAATAAGTAAGATTGATTGTTGAAAGCAGGTCCCCTCTTTTATCGGAGATAGCTTGGATAACTAAATATTATAGTATACTAGTGGACATTTTATCTAAGCAACTACAAGGTTGTAGAAACTGCAATTTCATTGCAATATTCACCGCATGACACAGTCAAACTGGAATTCAAGTTGCACTAAACATTTAATTGCTACGCACACTAGACAGAGTAGCTAACTAATATCTGCTGTATTGATCCAGACAGTAGCCGGTAATTTGGTCGGATATACAGTCGAATACATCAAAAGCGAGATCGCAGCTTTCACCTTTCTGGGGCAGCTCCTTTCGATTGACTTTGTACCGGGCGGTCATTGTCCGGAGGCAGAGGTTCACGGACCGCAGGGTGGCCATGAAGAAGCCGTGCTCGTGGACTCCCTCGGAGTAGAAGTGGACCAGTCCGTCCAGCGTGGGCCAGCCCTTCTTGTCAATGGCATTATTCCTGGCGTAAACGCAGTGCAACAGGCACTAAAAATAATGGTAAGAGTGAGTAACAGTCTTTTTGTGGAAAGTATTCAACAGATTTGAAATAAACGAAAATATATAAAGCTGCACTGTTAAAAATTGTTTTCAAACTTGTAGCTGACAAAAAATTTTCTTAAGAACAGCTTTTAGCTTAACTGTTTTAATTAAGAAGATATTGGGGAATGTTGTGTGTGCTTAAACACCACGATATCTATATATATTTTTATTTTTGGTAGACCAAAAACTGTGAAAAATTATTTTTCAGATAAAATGCTTATTATGGGCTAAAGCCATTTTATAAGAGCATATTTGTTTGCTATTTGTATAGGTTTTAATATATTTTTATTAATTTATAATCCATATTTCTAATTTATACACTGATTCCAATGATATTGGCATAACATATAAAATGTTACAGAATTTATAAAATTTTGATCATGAACCAAAAATAAATATTAAAAATTATGAGCTACATTATCTTAATAAAGACCCAAAGGAAACACGGAGACTTTTTTTAGTGTGGGATGCATAGGGCTATCTGTACATTCAATTTGCTGATGCATAAAGCCAGCTAATGTGTATTAAGTGCGCTTTTCAGCCATCAAATTCAGCATTGCTGGAGGTGTGTGAAAAATCTCCGGCGGAGGTGTGTGAGTTTGAATGAAACTGAAACTGAAAATGCAAACGCAAACGCAACGGCGACTGCGCTTTTCTTTCGATTGTCTAATAACCCTGACTTTAGGCGTTGCTTTATGAGGTGAAGTGGGGGCTTTGCCAATTGTTTCTTGGGCTGCCATTGAACGTAATTGAGCGGCGTTTTTGCATTTCATTAACACGAGAAGAAAAGCGATCTACAAGTCTCGCAGAAGATTTACTTACCCCCGCGATGCGCTTGTCCTCCAAAGGCACCAATGTGGGATGGTATATGCCCGAACTGGTCAAGTCAAGCCGTCGGATGTTCCTCATGAGTCTGGCCACATGGCGATGTGGTTCGGGCTCATCGTAGACTATATACTCGTAGTGGCTGATGTTGGGGGCATGATCTATGGAAGAACCCCCGGGAACAGATGGCCAAACGAAGTCGATGGAGTCATCGTTGGGATCGATGGGCGGTTGCTTGTGCGACACCTGCTCCTTGAGTATTTCATAGGCCTCTGTTACGATAACGAAAACCCTTTAATATTTATGAAAAACCTCAACTGATGGTGAGACCTACCATTAACCAACTTATTGCGGACCTCATCCTGGCATTCACCGATGACAGACTCCACTTTCCTGGCGGTTCTGGGGGGATTCAAGCACTTGGACTTCTTCGTCTCGAAGCGAATTAAGTATTCCACTGCCTCGATCGATGCGATAACCACACTCGAGATATATAAGAGTTGTGTAATCTTCATGATTGCGATAGCGATTAATTGGATACTCCACGCCGATCCGAACGCCTGGGCTGCTGTCAAATGAATGTCCCCCCGATGAAGTGACCGCGATGAAAACGAAAGCATTTTCACTTTCCAGCCAAACTGGCAGGATGGCCCACACTCGCCACTTATGAATTTCCAGTTTTCAAGTTTTGCTCTATGGGTATGTGGTTCAATGGCAAATGGCAAACTGAAATCTCAGCTGCCACAACTGGTTGCACATTTCCCATGCGTACAACAGTCCGTTAGAAACTTGTCCTTAAAGCCCGACCACATGCCTTTGAACATGGTCATTGGCAGCAGCTATATAGCCATCTGGCTATATATCTCCGATCGCATTAGGTTTCGTTCCATTGTCTCTGCGGTTGTGGGATTACGATTACGATTCGGTTATTGTATGTTAGGAACGCACTCGCTCCGATTGAGTGCACAATTAGCCAATGGGTGAGCCCAGTAAAACTCTTCCGCCTACTGACCAATTTGCATTTATGGCCAAAAAGCCAACAGCCAGCCAACAGCCATTAAGATTATCAAAGGCGGTAGTGTAGTGGATGTGGACTGGCCACTAACTTTGAACTATAAACTATAACTGAAACCAGAATCAAAGGCAGCCAAGCGGTGCGGTCTAATCAGAGGGCCTGACACATCCAGCTCTCCCCCCCTCTCCCACTTTCCACCCCTTTTCGACCATCTAGAACCCAGAACAATGGCCAATAACTGTACTTGGAAGTGGCCAGCGTCTCCACGCTAATTATGCTTCATTAAAATGCCCAAGATCCTAGGCGGAAATTGTCATAAACTTCTCTGGTCTCCTTGCAGCCGACGGGTAATTGCCTTTAATTGCATACCTGGCCGAAAATTGCAGCTAAGACACTGACCTAGACTGGCTCTGGATCGAATTTATAATAAGCCCGGCTAACGGAAAATGGAAAATTTAAATCGCTAGCGCTGAAGTTCAATGTTCAGTGCTTAGATTTTGAGCTGTGGTGTGGGGAAGGAAGGGAAAGAATTGTCAACAGGAAGCTCTCCAGGTTGCAACTTCGGGGAACAAGAACAACGTGAGCTAATTGACAGACAGCTACACAGGCACGATTTCCCATTTTCCATTTTCCGCTTGCCATTTTCCCAGCTCCTAGCTCCTAGCTGCTGGCTTTCCCCTCAATCTGGCGCACAAGGAGGCCCACAAAATAAACAACCCAGAAGCCTGGAGTGCAGCTGCAACAACACTTGCGTGTCCATCATTAGAACAAATTCTCTCACCTGAACATCCAGCGAACCACCTTTCCCCCTGAGCCCCTCCTCCTTCCGCTTTTCTTGTAACGCAATTTGCACACAAATGCTGCTGTTTCATCTTCGTGGCTTGGCTGTTTTTGGTTTTGGATTCGGTTTTGGTGGGTGGTCAGGTGAGACAAGTGGCGGCAAGTGGCGGCAGCACCACCATCGCCGTTCAACGCCGCACGAACCGCTCACTGAGCTCACCGCCTGAGAATCGTATTTAAATACGAAGGTCTAACGCTGGATCGCATCAGTCGTCGTCGTCGCGTTGTTCTAGCCACTAGTTTCTCCTCCTCCTCCTCCTGGAAAAAGCACAAGTCTCAGTCGGGATCTCATCGTAGTTCGGTTTGGGGCTCGATCGGTTCGGTTGGGGCCATATAATTTTATCTAGTGACTGTGCCCCTGGGACAGGATGCTCGTTTGATCTTTGGACTGGATTAAGGCAAATGCGATTTGAACATGCTGCATCTGCATCGGCACCTGCATCTCCTCCCGTTTCTCTGCGCTATTTTGGGATACTTTGCGGATCCGGCCAGAGCGGAGATCGAATACAATACCATCAACGAGGATGGATCTTTTCAGTTTCGGTACAAAGATCTGTGACAAAGAAATTGTGAAGTTTTTAAAATGACTATTATAAGGACTGAAGAAAGAAGTGGTTTTAAAAATCAGTTTCATTCGCTTAACCCTGTGACTCAGTACATTTTCCATTCACCTATTACTAAATATTCACTTTATTATAAAATTTCTGACTAGTGCTATTAAATAAATGATTTTATTTTAAAATGCTTAAAAATCTTGATAAATATACTTTTTTCAAAGTTAAAATTTTAGTAATGCCATTATAAGAAAGTTTTTAATTTTCTAAAATTTGAACATTCAACTATGTTTCCTTGTTTGTTTCTGGAGATGATACAGTTACACTAATATAGCTCAAAGGACATTCGATTATGTATCCTTGTTGTGAAAATATCTTGACTGAATAGAGATTTTATTGTATTTTTTAACTTTTGATTTTATACTTTTAACTAATTTTTTTTTATTGACAACAAAGTTTGACAGAAAACTCCTCCTTAATATTAAATCATCTTATCAAACATTAATTCTTATAAAATAAAAAAAAATCCTCATACAAATTTTAAGAATTAATATAATTATAAATTATTATTAAGTCAAGTCTTTCCTACGATTTGATCAAGAATAAAATCCTGAGGGCAAATAAGTACGTTACCAATTCACATGATGCCTAATTGCTTAACCAAATAGCAAAACCATTGAAAGGGAACATCTCAATTACTGTATTTAACAGCCATGGGTCATAAATCTAACAAATCATCTAATCGGTCAATGATGTTTGCTACCTCCACCCACATCACACTCGAGCAAATTTGAGATTTTTAGCACCTCTTTAACGCCTTAACGTTTTGCAACCACAACACTAACACGCTTCCGACCATCTTTCCCTCTCCATTTCGCACGCATGGGGCAACGCAATTACTTGTGTTTCGATGGAAATACTGCTTTGTGGCACTTCTTGTGGCAAACCGTACCGAACCAAACCGAACCGAACCGATCGGCCCAAAGACATGCAAATGATGACATTGGCGGCTACTATCACAGCGCCTCGGGCACTCCGGACAACACGGTGCGAGGTCGCTACGGTTCGCGGAGTCCGGCGAGCGGACAGATCGAGGAGACGGTCTACACAGCCGGACCACGTGGGTGAGTAAACGAAGACGCCCAATCCGGGTGCTTTTATTGCGGCTCTGCTGGTGCACTCAGAGAAATAGATCTAATAGTTTGTTGAATTTTCTAAATAGATGCATTTGTAGAAAGTTAAGAAAAGGTATTATGCTCGGATATGATTCCAAAAAGAAGTATATAAAATGTTTTTTTAAATAAAAACTTTTTACAAAACAAATTAAATTTTTTTAAATTGGGGTATTGAAGAACACAGCATTTTTACTAGGAAAAAAACAAAAATTTCAAGGAGGATTCTAAAATAAAAAAATAAATAAAAGAAAAGCCAAAGAACAAAGAACAAAAGCTCATTTGGTCATAATTGGTTTTAAATTTAAAGTGGTTATTTAGATTTAGTTTGATAAAAATGTTTTCTTTGTTAAGGGCTTATCGAAACAATTGTTTTAAAATGTCTAGAGTTATAATGTAAATAAATAAATTCAAATTAAACAGACAAAAGGCCCCTAAAAAAAGATTATATATTTTATACTTTGCTAAAATTTTTATCAGAAATGTTATATAATTATCACAAGGATTTATAATTTTTAAGGACAATGGAAGTTGGAAAAGACTTGAATTAGCAAGGTTCCAAAAGTGTTTAAACAATTATTATAATTCAAGGTTAATTAACTTTTTCCAAGTAAGAAAACGTATTTATTCAGTGTGCAACATACAGACAGCAATTTGCCGAGTGTATTGGCAGTGCAGGAAGTGGCAGCACAAAGTGAGTTACCTCCCCTCGATGTCAGAGTTGAGCTCATATATCAGTGGTTGGCGGCAGGCGGCGGCCACTGAAGCGGATCCCAAGCCAACGGGCGGTTCGGAGTTGGAGCCGTTCTAACACATTGGACTGTTTTTTCTGGCGTTGCCTAAACGTTTTTCCATTACCGCTTCGGCTACTGTTTTTGTTTTTTGCAATTGGGTAATCCGTTAAATTGGTGGAAACAAAAAGCTGTTAACAAATTGACTGGCCTGAGAGTTTCGAGCAAAAACTATAGCCACTTGCTCGGCTCGTACCGATTGCAGATGCTCAGCGATAGTGATGATTCTGAATGGGATTCAGATTCGTTCCCCGAGATGTGGGGTAATCACAGTGACGACGTGCCGGGTTCAGAGATCGGATCTATATAGTCGGAATTGCAGTGCAAATCCGCTTCCGCTGAAAGCTGGTTTACCCAATCCCCACCACTCATTGTGATCGGCAGCTAATTAATCTCTCCCATTTTTTTTCACATACAGGTTTCGCGTGAACGGACCGAAGATCCATCGCAAAATGGACCTGGCCCAGTATCCGGTACTGCCGCGTGGAAGTCCCGACGATCCGCTGGCCGATCCCTTCGACGATCCCTCTTACAGCTTTAGTTTTCGTACTCCAGATCAGTCGCGCAGCGAGGAGAATGATTCGGGCAATAGGATAAGGGGTGAGAATCTAATAATTCAAAGCATTTATTCTTATATTGGTAAAACAGCAACAGTTTTACGCGCAAAAGCCAAAAAAAAACATTTTAAAAAGTAAAAATTAATATTGGTGTTAGAATACATAAAACTTTTTAGAATGTGATACCGTATTTTTGCTCCGAAGTAGAATTTCGGAGCTCTGTATTTTCTGTAATGGTTTCAGGAAATATTATTGCCATCAACAAAAAAAAAAATAGTGCAATTAAATAATAAATATTATGTACTCAATCTAGAAATTTGTCGCTTTAGTTTTCATCCAGTGCGGTTTGTAGTAGTAGTTTTTCATTGACTATTATGGAATTGATTTTAAAAACTCAAAATCTAATATAGTTTATTAAATTTAAAAGCTCAACTTTTAAAACCTAATATTTTTCACATTAAATCAAATATTTTAATACAATTTATTACGCAAATATCAAATACAATATTTAAATTAATTTCTATAAATATAACATTTTGAGTTCAATAGCCAGCTGTTTTGTTTTACTATTTAGTTTTACCAAATTAGTAAACTTATTCCCTCCCAATTTCAGGACTATACTCCTATCTGGACGATGTGGGCGAGCGGCACAGTGTTCGCTATGCGGCCGGTGCCGGAACTGGTTTCGAGATCTCCAATGCTGTGCCGGATAGTCCGTCCACGGTGGCCTACTCCAGTCCGCTGTACAAGTCACACCCCAAAACGCGTGGCAAGATGGCTGTTCAACGGGGACCTGCTGGGAGCTACAAGCTGATTGCCTCCGGTCCGGATCACCGGCGGGCAGAGAGTAGAGCTCCAGATGGGCTGGTGCGGGGCACCTACTCCTTCCTGGACGACAAGGGCGTACAGCGGACAGTGGAGTACATCGCAGGAGCGGGAATTGGCTATCGGGTGGTGCAGAACCGCATTGGACCTGGCACCCACATAAATCCCTCCGTGGCCGATTTCCGCCTGGCAGATCCCGATTTTCGACTGGCCAATGACTTTGGCAGGGGTGCAGGCGGGCGATTGGGTCCCAAAGGCGGTGCGGTGGGGGGAGCAGGTGGCTCGAGTACTGCGGGAGGATCAGCAGCTGGAACGGGTGGTGGTGCAGGCAGGGGTCGCACTCCAGGCAGACCAGGTGGCAAAGATTACCTAAAGCCAGCTGACGGCGGAAGAGCTAGGGATCAGGGTGCGGGAGATGCGGGAGCAGCTGATGAGGATCTCGGACCCGATGGGGACAATCAAGAGGATGACGTCGGACTAAGCAGCAGCTCCTCCGGCTCCACCAACTTTCAGGACAAAGAGGATCGCAGGGGCTTCGCAGCGGGAAGTTCCCAACGTGGCAGCACCAGATACGATGGCGGAGGCAGTAGCTCACAGAGAGGTGGCGGTGGTTCCAGTGGTGCTGGTTCCAAAGCTGCTGCTGCTGCTGCTGGTGGTGGCTCTGGTGGAGGAGGTGCCTACGCCGGACGGGGAGTGGGCAGGGGCAAGCCATCCGGCCGGGGAAGCGTTCGCCGCGGAGGTGGCGGTGTCGCAGCCTCCGGTGAAGGCGACTCCGGCCTGGGCTACCTGCCGCCCACAGGTGGATCGGGCACTAGTGCCATCAGCGGACCCGGCGATAACTACCACCTCAACGACGACGATGTGGGCAGTTCCCTGCCGCCACTGGTCACCGCCAACCACCGCATCCTGGAGATCGATCGGGATCGGGAGTGGGTGCAGCGCCATCGCGACTCCACCGTCATCAAGAACGTGGGCAAATGGTATGTGGGCCTGCCCCCTGGCCAAAGTGTGCGTGCCCATGTTCAGAACATCGACATTGTGCCGCTGGGCGGACGCATTGGTCTCTCGCCCTCGGAGGCACTGCGTCAGGACGAGATCGCCGAGCTGAATGCCTCGCGGGAGCACTAGTTCGGAGTACTCCCCGCCTCCGATCGGATCTGTAGTTCGTAGTGCCTAGCTCTAAGTGATCAGTGTTGAGTAACCGAAACCGGGTTGACTCCACATGGAAACTGTAACAGTATTTAAAGCGGAATACACTTTACGTCTGTATCTGTTTCTGTATCTGTATCCAGAGTTATCTGATATCCGTGGTGGCTGCCGTAAGCAGGTTGGTCTTTGGATTGCGGTTTCCTTGGGTCTTCATATAAACCCAAGTCACTGCCTGCCTAGAGTTTAGTTGGTTTTGAGACTTAAATCGAGATGCTGCTGGCTTGGATTGGTTTGCTGGGTGTTTCCTGTGCTCAAGCAGCCCAGGTCTATATGCACTTCAATGGACTTGGTTACTCCTACAATACGGATGGCGATAGGCTGGATAGGAGTGTCGTTTCCCCTACTTATGGGGGCTCATCCCTGGAATCCTTTCAACCCTTGCAGTTTGTGCACCAGGCTCTTAGGACCCGGCATAACCCACTGCCTAGAATCTCATACAGGGCACAGGACAACCTGGCAACCTCGTCGCTGAGCAGGGGCTACATAACAGCACCATCTGCCCACCATCAGAGCCACCAGAACTTCGATTTCAGCACCGACCAGATGGCGCATGCCCAGCACACCGACGAGTCGGGAAATGTTTTGGGCAGGTACTCCTACTACGATGAGGCTGGCTACCACGAGCTGAGCTACAAGGCGGGCGCCGGCATCGGGTTCGTGGTCATGGGTGGTAATTTGGCCAAGGCCACCGCCACCGCCGCTGAACCGCACTCGGAATCGGAATTGGAATCGGAACTCGAAGTCGGAAATCGAAACGGAATCCAAACAAATGCCTTGGCGAGCCTGCAAGAGTTGCATAAATATCGCGGCTACACGTAAATAAACAAATTAGCTGAACCACTGCTCGTTCTACTTGGGTTTTTTTTGTTATTTAATGACAGTATTTGGAGATCTGACAGTGTCAACTGTCAAGTTTGACATCTACGTGATCGGGGAGTTCAACTGCAGGGGACTTACCTCCAAGAATGAATGACAAATGAATAAGTTGAGTTAAAGATTGACTTCTGGTTTTGCTTGGCATTTCACTGGCACACTTTAATTGGATATTTACGAATGCTCTCTTAAAAAGACTCAGCAAATATCAGTAATTTGTAAACTGTTTGATAAAATGTTCAGGATATGAAAGGCACAGAGGTTCTCAATTGATTGAATCATTTAAAAATATACCTTTAAAATATGTTAATAATATACAAATGTTTATTTGTTCTAAAGACTTTATGCATGCAGTTAAAATATAAAAGAAACAAAAACAAGGAAAACAAAACAAAAACAATTTTTAAAAAAAATTTATTTAAAAGAAATAATTGTTGGGTAATTTTTTGTCATAAGCTCGTAGTGCTTAAAATTCAATCAATTGAGATATCTATAAATGTGGCCTTTATCTAAAATTATTAAAATAAAACTTTTCCAATAGATTTTTCTTTTACCAAAACATTTTTGCATTAAATAAATGGAGGTAATCATTGTCAGTTACCGATCGTAAATGAGTGTAAGACCCTTAATTGTTTGTGGCGCGTGCTTTGGCCCGAGCCAAGTCGTACAACTTATGCATTTTATAAGGCCTAATTGATTTTCCGCTCATAAAAATAGTTATTCGGTCGGACAAAGTCATTTTACAAATGGTTTGTGCATCCCAACGCCGAATTGAGTCACCTCTTGCTTTTATTTATTTTTGTTCGGGTAATTTCTTGTCGGAAAGGGACCAAAATAATACAACATTTGAAATGTTCGACGCGTGCGCGCACTTGCCAAATAATTTGAATCGAACGGAAAGCCTTGGCGTCCACATCGTGGCCTAAATAAAAAATATATATATTTCGGGCCCGTCATCGAAACAAAGAAAAGCCCAAATGCGATAATAATAATATGCATATTTGCTAAAAAAAAAAAACAATTATTGCAGAGTCGTGTTTAAGCGAAAGTTTCACTGCCACAATTAAAATTGATGTCAAGAGATCTAAGCGGTTAGTTTCCCTGAAACAAGTTCCTACGTAAACCCCAAAAACTTTCTTCGCTGAATGCACTAAAAGAATGTACAGAAAAGCACTAAAAAGCTTGCCGCTGACATAGATTCTATTTGGGCGGGCCTAGGGCTTCCAGTGGCCACGTTCTCAGCGTTCTCGGTATCAATGGCCCAGCTGGGAAACCGCCGAGGTGCATAATTGGGTTAGCATAACAGCAGAACGGCAGTACGACTGCCTGCATTGAAGCCACCAATTACTGGGGCTCTGGCTCTCCCAGGTGCCAGTTAGCCGTTCTTCTTCTCCCAACCTTCCTATAAACAACGGTTTGGCTGGGACTCCACCTCACTCCTCAGTTCTCATCCTCGTCGAAGGTCAGACTTAATTGGCCCAGGCCTAGGCAACGACATCCCCACTAGCAGTCCCGTTTGCCAGCATTTATAAATAGGCTCCAAGGTCTCTGGGTCTTCAACTCCTCTGCTTGGCTTGCTGGTGGGGTTCGATTTATCGCCTTTTGATTGCTGCATTCCAATTGTGGTTCAAGTGGTGCGTTCGGGGTTTACAACGTGTTGCTGCTAATTTCGTATGCTCCCGCCGGCGCTGCTCAGTCGAAACCATAAATCTTGTGGCAATTTTATTGATGCCTGCGTGTGCCACAAAGGTCGACCCCCGGTTCTATCCTGGTTAATCAAGAAATATGCATTATTGTTGTGCTTCGAAATCAGTAGCTGGCTAGTTGGGGCATAAAAACCAATAAAGGAATAAATGGCTGCCAGTAAATTGATTGCTCTGGGCCAATAAAGACTTTGTTTGGCGCAGAAAACAAATGACTTAGAGCACGAACTCGGAAAGGAAATCGATTCCCGCCTGATTCCAGACATTTGTGATTTATGATTGCCCCCGGGCTAAGCCTTAATCCTGACATCTGTTGATACCCGAGAAGTGTGTGAACTCTTCACGCCGAATTGGCTGTCAAATCAGAAAAAGAACATGATTCTTGAGCAGCCGCTTTCTAACGAGACGCTGGCAAACATTTTAATTGAATTGCCCAACAGCCAAGCGATTCATTCATCAGCTCAGTTCGAGCCTGTCTTAAGTCGCTTACCATTTTGGCTTATGTCATGTTGGTGCCCGTTCCGAGCTGATTACCTCTTCACTTCCCACACGCACTTCGCTTCTATTCCACTCCACTCCACTTGTAATGGCCCGGCACTTCGCCCCTGTCCAGTCACGCTCAATCAAGCCAATAAACGGCCAATTAATCAAAGTCAGCGTTCTAGCTAGGTGCTCTAGGTGCTAGCTGCGAAACAGTAGCCTGAAGAGGCCCCCTCTTTTGCTGACACATGACAAATTTCTGGCGAAATGTGTGCGAGTTAGGCAAACTACATATCTGCGAAATCCTAGAGTTGGAAGCCTGAATATCAATTGAAGTTTAGCCTGAAGCTGGTACCCAGTTAGCCCAAAACCCACAGATCCACGCCCCCAGATAAAAGCCAGGCCAAGGCGCTCCACGACTACGTGCCCAACTTATCGGGTTGGGCTTCTCTTCGGCTCTCTCTTTGGGCCACAAGGCCCAATTCTCTTACACCTGATCGGGCCCTGTTTTCTTGGCCATTTCTTTCGCTTCGTCGTTTGCATCGCTAATGGAAATGTTATAAACAGACGCGCTGGGCCCGGCCAGCACTCAGTTCATCTTCAGTCGTCGCCTGGCTCGCTGGCTCTTGACTCTTCGTTATTGGTTCTTGGTAGGAGTTCCAGTCCCTATTTTTATTGTGCGTGACAACAAAAAAAATAAAATAAAAAAAAAAAAAAGAAAAGTAAAGAACTCGGAAACTGAAACAATCGTAAATTGAAAGCTCAACAGGATTGGCTTTTAGTGCAAGCGTGTGTGTGATTTAGCCGCGTAACAGCCCAGAGTGCCACTCATCCCGTTTCTCGTTCGCAGTTCAAGGATATATGGTCAAGGCGAGGATTGGTCAGCCAACGATTCGATAAAAATTTAGCAAAACAATAAGGAATCAGAAACTGTTCACCACAATGCGCTTCTTTGTTGTAAGTAAAACCAAGCCAAAAAATTGAAATTAGTTCTTAAGACCTGACCACTTTTTTGCTTAAACGAAACGAAACTAGTTTATACCTGACCGCAATTAATCATTTATTGCTCTGTGCTGCCGCTGAACTCATTAACTCGTCAACTGGCCCAAGTTCGTGCCTTGAGTCTTTCGTTTCTTTCACTTCTGAATTGAAATGAACTTTCACTAAGCGACATTTTTGGTTCTTTCCTCGATTCTTGGCTTTTTCTGGCCACGAAAATTAGCCCTAATTATGTTCTGTGCCATATGCAAATATTAATAATGTGGCTAGACTCTTTTTTTGGCATTTTAATAATCAGAAATCATTTTAAATGCTAAAAGCTTTTATAGGATTATTTTTTTAATAATTGAAAAGGTCAAAAGACCTTTGTGTAAGTTATTGTTTCCTTTGTAAAGAGAGATTTAATCTCTGCTGAAAAGTGAAAAGCCTTCAGAACGTGACAATATTCTAGCCCCTCCCCAATGAAAAAGTGAGAATGAATCATTAATATCCCCGTCCGCATTATCCCTTGCATTATTCATATTGCCATTGAGACAAGCACGCCCTTAAAAGTCCAAACTCGTCAGCGCCTGGCTTATAAGGTACAATACCATTCAATTATAACCATAACCAGTACGAACACTTACAATGAAAAGCCCAAAAATCAATTATGAATTGGGGAACATAAAATTAACATGCCACAAACGTAACAAAATCATGCGTGGGCTAACAAATGGCAATAAAAGTCTTCTTTCCCTCGGCGCTCCAGCAAACAATCGAACACATTTGTGCGGGGTGCTTAGAGAACTTCAGGTCTATAAAATAGAAATGGATGGTGCATTGATAGTGGCTCATAAATTAATCAATTTATGAGAACTTTTGAATGTTGATCCACACATCCCATCAATCTCCGCCCAATTAGCTCCATCCGAATGTCTTCGGAATATCATTTAAAAGCAATCGACACCCGAGCGGATAAACAGAACATGAGACAGACAGACATTTATATCTTGTTATATCTTGTTTGAGAACATAAAACGCTGCGCTTAAACTTTGCATTCGAGCCATTAACCCAGTTTATTTTTGGAAAAGACACACCCGATACGGGATAAGGTTATGTTATGGGCAAGCAATGTAGTAAACAAGGCTATACCCACAAAAGAAAGCAGGCCGAAATATGTACATCTCGGGGGATGCAAGAGATCTTGCAAATCAATGCCAACCAGGTTCGACAGCCTCTTGGCCAGAATCTCTCTCGAGTTACGCTTTGGCCCGAAATCGTAACAGATCGTAACGCCTAGAGGTTCAGGTCAATGACACAACACGAGCCCCGACTTCAGATCGGATCCAGCTTTGGTTGTGGCTTTGCCTTTAGCTCCAACCTGGGTAGATGGTTATTGGTATGAGTATGGGTATCTCAGCTCCTCTCGGCTTAGTGACATTTCGGCGTTGATAGATGGGCGTTCGACTCCACCGGCTAACGGTTGCGTCAATATTGACTTTGCCAAAGATGTGGAGAGCCGGCGCGAGTGAGTCAAATATTTGCCGATCGTGGGCTTCTCAACGGTCGACAGTCGACAATCATCATGTTCGAGGGAAAATCCGCTGAGTACTTTTGGTATTCTTGGCGGGCTGGGCTCTCACTTTTCGGCTTAGCTCTGGGGCTTGACGAGAAATTATGCAAATGCGCTGGAGGAGCAGAAAAGAGAAAGACTTTCGCGAGGGATTTGACCGCATTCTTGTGTCTATTACGACATCGGAATACTGAGAACCGTATCTAAGGCA